GGCAGCTGAAGTTCTGGACCCTGCTTCTCTGCCTTTTGTACCAACGTGACTATCATAGTCCTTTGTATTTTGACGTGTCAGGGATCCATACTGCAGGAACTGCACTGTGGACCCCCAACCCAAGTTTGTTTGGACATCCCACCTTCCCTTGTTACTCGGCCACACTGGCTCTGTGACAATTTACAGGATGGATGGATGGATGAGTGAGTGGGTGGTGGGTGGACACTTCAGAAGAAAGACCCTTGGTACCGAGAGGTGACTTGCTCATACATGTGAATGGCCAGTCCAGGCTGAATGTGAGGACCCTACTGGGGAGCCAGGTGCCCACTAACACTATTCCCTGCGGGTTTCTCTCCTTCACCACCCTGATACCATGTGGGCCTGCCCTCATGCTCTGGCCCTGGTGGACACTGTTCTTAGGAGCTCCTGCCCTGCAGTTTGGCCTCTGGTGAATCCCAAAGGGGAATTCAGAAAACAAAGAGGTTAATTGTTTTTGGCTCTTGGGTGAGGCTTGTGGGTGGAGGCCCAGGTTGATACAAGTGTCTCTGCATTGCTCTCCTCTTTAGACACTGAGGCGGCATCTCACTGAACCCAGCTAGCCAGCCTAACCACAGAGATTCCGTTTAGGCCTCTTACGTGCTGGTATCGTGTGGGCCACCACACCCATGTAGCATTTACACAGGTTCTGGGGATCCAAACTCTGGTCCTCACCCTGGCAAGGCAAGCGCTTTATCCACTGAACCATTTCACCAGCGCACAAAGAGCCTGTTTGACTCCACAAGGGGCATGGAGCTACTTAAGGTCATAGTTTTCTATGCCTGCCTTCCAAGGTCCTCTCCACTCCCTTCAGTCATCACTGGGGCTTGGCCACTGGTCCATGATGGAACAGAATTCTGATCCCGGCCACCAGGTGGCAGTGGCTACAAAGCTAGTTGGCTGCTCTTGCAGAGATGATAGAGGTGTGTGCAACAGTCAGGGAGGGGGTTTCCTTTGCTTTGTTTTGTTTGTTTTGTTTTGTTTTTTGAGACAGGGTTTCTCTGGGTAGCCCTGTCTGCCCTGGAACTTCCTCTGTAGACCAGACTGGCCTCAAACTCCTGCCTCTGCCTCCCGAGTGCTGGGATTAAAGGCATGTGCCACCACTGTCTGGCCGGAGGTGGTTTCTGGATCAAGGGGCAACTGGGAAGGGTCACAGTAGGGCAGGCTTGCAGAGATGACGGACTGACATGCCGTTCAGGGAGAGAGTGCAGATAGGATGTTCTTTCCCTTACTTTCTCCGATGTATCTGCAGGATCTGGGGCATGCACAGCAGTACTCTGCAAGTGCTCACTGAGGGCCAGGGTACCTCTCCTTCCCTCTTCCCTCACCCTGCCTTCCTTCCCTCCCTCCCTCTTTCCTGTCCTCCCCACCCTCCCACCTCCCCACTCCAGCTCCAATGTAGCCACCTGACTGCGCCTCCCAAATGCAATGATGACTGACCAGTTTGCATGGTGCTGAGGCTTCATGTTGGGAATCTATGAGCTGTGTGTTGCTTCCAAAAATCTTGGGCCCAGAAACCAACCCTCAAGATCTCCCTGAGCAGCCCTGCCCAGCAGGTACCCCAATGCCATGTGTGAGGAGAGCACACCTGCTCACAGGGAAGAGCACTTCAAGCATGGTGTGGGACCTTGCACACAGCTCTGAAGCAAAGGGAACCCATGGGACCCAGGTGCTGTGGGCTCTGGCATGTCTGAGAGAATCTGCCTCAGTTCCATGAAGCCTTGTAGCACAATACAGTGAGTGTCAGCTGACCACACTCCTACTATCCCCTGGTGAGCAAGGCAGATGGGAAAGAAAGCTACTGGGCACCGATGCACCCACCCTCAATACCAAGCATAGGGTCCAGGGGCACTGGGGATAGTGCATTTCTGAGACAGACAAGGGAAGGACAAGGGTGGCTTCCAGTTTGAACAGCCTGGCTTTAGTTTTGGGTTTGGTGGCCTCAGTGGGGCCTGTCTTAGGACACTTGGTAGAGGGTAGAAGCTTTTTTTAATCTTTCCATGGATTGACAAGCTCACTAAAGTGAACTCCTAGGGCAACAAGGCACCTGGTAAGCCAACCCATGTAGGGTGGGGCTTTGGGGCTCGGTGAGCGGTGGTTGCTCCACTGCCCCCTGCTGGGAGCAGCCTGGAGTGCACTCCTGGCCTCTGCTGCTAACAACCCTATGTGAGTAAGCAATCTGTTTATTTACATGGAAAGTTCCAGGAAGAGGACCCACGGTTTGACAAGCTAACGGCTGGCTGCAGCTTCCCTAATCATCTCTTGCAGACAGGAGCAGTTCTGAGAAAAACTAACCCAGAGCGGAGGATAGCTGTTCAGGATCACATTCCTGAGGAACCTAAACTCTTCTTGTGTAGTTGGGTGGTCCATGGTGCTGGGGGAAGCCTGAGCCTAAGGAGGCCCCTGGTGGTGTAACTTGGAAAAGTTCCAGAGACCTCCTGTAGCTCAGAGCACAGAATGGGGTCTGGGGAGGTGACTCACTGGGTGAAGTGCTTGCCACAAAAACACAAAGACCTGAATTGGATCCCTGGTGCCCAGAGAAAAGGTCAGGTGTATGGTATTTGCTTTTAATCCCAGTGCTGGGGAAGCAGAGACAGGAGGTCCCTGGGGTTTCTAGCTAATTAGCCTAGGTATTGATGCCTGGCCTCCACGTGCACACACACTGACACTCACACAGATGAATACACTTTTGGAAGGCACCCTGGGGGCAGGTTAGACAGGTTGTAATGACACCGGGCTCCTTGCTTTTGCCTGAGTATCAAGGTGTATGGGCATGAGCTGGAATGAAGCCAGGATATGACCAGGAGGGCAGGGCACAGAAAGATGCTGCATCCTGAAATCCAACAGGGCAGTGGGCGGTGGCACTGAGGACAAGCACCTGGGTACATCTGTGGATTATATGGGAGGTTATGACAAAGGGGTTGACTGTGAGCCAGAGAGGTGGCTTAACCATGCCACAGAGGCCATATCTGGTCAGAGCAAGCTGATGAGCTCCATGGTGATACACTCTCTTCAGGGCTGGGCAATGTTGGTCAGAGACCATGTACTGGGAGCACTAGGGCCACATAACCCCACACCAGGCCCAATGCATTGGGTACCATGGTGCCCTTTCCCCAGCTCTTGCCACACAGTCAGCTAATCAATAGAATGAGAATCATTGCCCAAGGGCATCTCTATGACATCCTTGAGCAAGCGGGGATGTCGGGGGTGGGGGTGGGGGTGGGAAGTGGCCAGAGATCTTAGGAGAAGTCAGCTCTCCAGGTCAGTAAGAGGTACTAGAAGCCAGGAGACATGGTTATATGTTCTCATTATCTCTGCAAGCCTGGCTCTGTGCAGTCCCAGCACCCAGAGACCGACCCTCAGTGTCCATCTGTGCAATGAATGGCTGAGAAGGGAGGGGTCATGGCACTCAGGAGGCAGGAGGGTGGGGTGGCAGCTGTGTCCCTGACACAGCGTCACCCTCCTCTCTTAGGGCATGTTGAGGCATGCGCTCATTCAGACATGCCAAGCAGCTTCTCATTCAGAAATGGTCCCTTTTTCTGTAGGGCACTGCTCAATGGCATCTCACCAGAGAGCAACCTAGACATCCACCCTGCTCACAACCTAGAGCACTCTCCACCATCATTAAGCATGAGTTCAGTTCCTTGGGGTGTGGTGTATGTGCATGGGGGGGTGTCTTGTTCATTTGCACTAATCTCTGAGAAATTACTTGTGCCAGCCCACCCCCACCCCCACTGGGGACACTGACTGGACTCTCCTTCGTGGGAGGATGGTGTCCTCTCAAGATTAACTTAAATGAGGGAAGTTTTCTTTTGCTTCTTGTCTTAAGATCTAGGCCATGGTCCCTGCTGCATTGAGCTTGTGGTAGCACCATTCATCACGTAAGATGTATAGCTGAGGAAGAGCTTAACTAATGGCAGCAAGAAGCAAAGAAACAGAGTCCACCATCCCAATCCCAATATCCCCTTTAAGGTGTGCCATGATGACTCAACTTCCTCCCAGTAGGCGCTCTCTCTCTCTCTCTCTCTCTCTCTCTCTCTCTCTCTCTCTCTCTCTCTCTCCTCTCTCCTCTCTCTCAAAGATTTATTATGTATACAGTGTTCTGTCTGCATGTGTCCCTGCAGGCCAGCAGATGGCACCAGATCTCATAACAGATGGTTGTGAACCACCATGTGGTTGCTGGGAATTGAACTCAGGACCTCTGGAAGAGCAGTCAGTGCTCTTAACCTCTGAGCCATCTCTCCAGCCCAGGCCCCATCTCTTCCCTCTTGCACAGTGGGCTAGGGATCAAGCCTTCAGATCCAAACTATATCGAAAGTGGATAGAGGGATGGATGGGTGGATGATGGATGGATGGATGGATGATGGATGGATAGAGGGATGGATAGAGGGATGGATGGATGGATGATGGATGGGTGGATGATGGATGGATGGATGGATGGAGGGATGGATGGATGGATGGATGGGTGGATGATGGATGGATGGATGGATGGAGGGATGGAGGGATGGATGGATGGGTGGATGATGGATGGATGGATGGATGGGTGGATGATGGATGGATGGATGTTAATGAGTCTTTCTGCACCACCATCCCCAGGGGGAAAAAACAACACAAACCTGTCTAACCATGATGCAATGAGCAGAATATATGGCCCAGTTACCAGAGGTGCATGCTCCCCACTTTGCACTACTGGCATCTTGGCCTGAATAAGCCTTTTGCTGTTGGGGGCTGTGTATCCTAGGATATCTGTGACATCCTCGGACGGCAAATGGCACCCTGTTAAGCTGTGGCAACCAGACACTGTTGCCAACCTTCCAGGGGGCTGGGAGATATGAAAAGCACCCTGGTGGAGAATCACAGTTGAGAGCCATTCTGATAAATGATTTTCACATGATACCACCATCCCCAAGGACAGTAGCTCTGCCCACATGACCTGATGCCCTTGGATAAGAGAGCTTCTAGAAGGCTTTGCTGCTGTCGTTTATTTACCACATATTTACATTGGAAGTCTGGCTGGCTGCCAAGGCCTTTGGTTTCTCAGTGGCCAGCCTGCAGCAGACTGACCACCTTCAAGTCCAAAGTCGAGATTCTGAGACATCAGACATTTAACAGGAGGGGCTGGTGTTCCTCGTCAGCTGTTTCACCAGTGGGAATTTCGTAGGTGACACACAGGGAGGAGTAGAGGCAGCCAAGGAAGGACACGAGGCTGGAGAAGTACATCACACCGTTGGCACTGCCCACAGCTGAGGTCAGGGGCCCCAAGACCAGAGAGACAAGGATCTGAGCCAGAAAGTACTGGCAGCTAAGTAGCGAGATGTCCATTCCCATGCCACGCCGAGTGCCGTCTGCGCTGGACCCTGCAAACTGACCAGGGGATGTCACATCAGTTAGACCTGCCACAACCTCCATGCAGAAGTGGGGATGAGGGGACCGACCAGGAGGAACAGGACCATAGCAAGGGTCAGCCAGTGTCTGGAGAGTTAACAACAGAAGAAAGGCTGGCTTCTCTCTCATAGGCCAGGTGGCACAGAACTGACCCAGCTGGAGCACCTGCCTCGCCTCAGGGCAGTGGCTACACAATCCATGAAAATTCCAAAAGCCGCTGGATTATACACTTGGATTCTTTTACTTTTTTTCCGGTGTTTCTTTTTTTGTTTGTTTGTTTTTCGAGACAGGGTTTCTCTGTAGCTTTGGAGCCTGTCCTGGAACTAGCTCTTGTAGACCAGGCTGGCCTCAAACTTACAGAGATCCGCCTGCCTCTGCCTCCGGAGTGCTGGGAGTAAAGGCATACGCTACCACAGCCTGGTTTTTTTCTGGTTTTTCAAGACAGGGTTTCCTCTATGTAGACCTGGCTGTCCCTCTGTAGACCAGGCTGGCCTCGACTCATCGAGATCCTCCTGCCTCTGCCTCCTGATGCTGGGAGTGAAGGTGCGCGCCGCCACCGCCTGGCCTTCTTTTAAGATGTGTTCTCTCACATAACCCCAGCTGGCATCTAACGTGCTATACAGAAGATGACCTTGAACTCCTGACTCATGCCCAGCTGAGTTACTGCAGGGTAGCACTTGTAGTCCCAGTGCTGAGAACGTGGAGGCAAGTGGGCCACTTTGAGGCCAGCCTTAGCTACATGAGATGACTGGGGAAAGCAAAAGCTCTGTGGGGAGTTAGACCCCAGTAAAGCTGCCAAAAAGAACCCATGCTGAGGGCCAACAAGACGGCATAGTGGGTACAGGGGCTTGGGCTAGTGAGACAAGCCTCACAGTCTGAGGTGTGACCTGCAGAGCCTGTGTATGGGTGGGGTGGAGGGAGAAGGCCAACCGCACTGAAGTCTTCTGACCCGCACACGAACGTGGCGGTCCACATACACATCTTAGGTCACACAACGCCAGCAGTGAAGATCTGGGCTGGATAAAACAAACCTTTTTCTTTCCTTGTTAGGCATGGAGCTTCCACTTCAATTCTGCTTTTAAAAACCCTGTCTCAACGCCTTTAATCCCAGCACTCAGGAGGCAGAGGCAGGAGGATCTGTGTGAGTTCGGGGCCAGCCTGGTCTATAGAGTGAGTTCCAGGACAGGCTCCAAAGCCACACAGAGAAACCCTGTCTTGAAAAACCACACACACACACACACACACACACACACGCCAAACAAACAAACAAACAAACAAAAACAAAAAACGCTGCCTCTCTGTGCCATGTCGTCATCACCATGTCCCCGGTGTCCTGCTCTCGTTTCTCTAGACCCAGCCTTGAACCACTGTGTTAATAGGGGACTCCAGTGGCCCTGTTCAGACTGGGAAGTTGCTGTGGAACAATCCCTTTGTCTACTGTGAAGATTTGTCACTGGGATTGGTTTAATAAAAAGATGATTGGTCGGTAGCCAGGCAGGAATTATAGGTGGGACAACCAAACTAGGAGAATGATGAGGGGAAGAAGGGTGGAGTCAAGGGAGATGACAGCTAGCTGCAGAGGAGGCAGGACATGTAGAAAATGAGGTCACAAGCCATGAGCCACATGGCAAAGTATAGATAGAAATATGGGTTGATTTTAGCGTAAGAGTTAGGGAGTTAGGGAGTAACAAGCCTGAGCTGTCAGCTGAGCATTTATGATTGATATAAGCTCCTGTATCCGTTATTTGAGAGTGGCCATGGGGCAGGAAAACTGTGCCTACAGGAAGTAGCCTAGAGGTCTCTAAGGTGCCCATGAGAAGCGGGTGGTGACCGTCCCTACCTTCTTACTCTGGTAGTAATCGCAGAGCAGGGAGTAGGGCAGGGTGCAGAGCGTGGAGAACAAGATGCCATAGGTGGTGCAGAGGGACAGGACCACATACAGGTTCCTGGAGAGTGTGGCCAACCCCGTGCCCAGGCCGAAGGAGAGGTAGGCGATGAAGTACAGGGTACGGACGCTCAGGCAGTCCTCCAGTTTCTCCAGGATAGCTGTGGGCAGGACAGAGGCTGAGTGGGTGGCTAGGCAGCGCTGTCCCCGGGGCAGAGCAAAGGCAGGTGCAGGAAGGAAGCAGCAGAGCAGGTGGCTTGTCCCTGCAGGCCTGCCTGTTGCACGGAGAGCAAGACCTGTGTGTGAATGAGGATTCACACCTGCCGCATAAGGACCCTGGAGCTTCTGCACACCAAAAGGTGAGACTCCTGGAGGCTCTGCAATGTGGGGTCTTAGGCTAAACCTGCGATCTCTTGCCTGGAACGGGAGCACAAGTGTGCCCCTTGGCTGGCATCATCTTCATCATGCCATGAGCCACCCAGAGCAGGCATGACCAAGTAAAGTAAAACAGACGATCCCTGGCTAGGGGACCCCAAGTGCTGATCTCAGGGCCTCACAAGTGAGACCAGCATCTAGTTTGGGGGTCTCTGGGGATTGAGCTTGGCTTCAAACATGCTAAGCACATACATATACTATTGCACTGAGCTACACCCCACCCCACAGCACTTTATTCCTCCCCAGCCTCCCTAAGGTGAGGGGGGTCAGAAAGGGCAGTGGGCATACTGCAGCCTGCAGCCTGGTTTTGACCTGTTTTTTACAACATGGAGCCCAGAGCCCTGTAAATGTTAAGTAATCTCTTCCACTGTGAGTTACACCACCCCCCACAAATCCCGCCCCTCCCACAACCCCTTCTCCCCCCCACAAACCTATTCAGCCTGGCTCTGTATGGCCCCACCGGAACCAAGAGTAACTTAGTACTTAAAAAAAAAAAAATAAGCCAGGCAGTGGTGGCACACGCCTTTAATCCCACCAGAGGCAGGTGGATCTCTGTGAGTTCGAGGCCAGCCTGGTCTTCAGAGCGAGTGCCAGGACAGGCTCCAAAGCTAAAGAGAAACCCTGTCTCGAAAAACCAAAAAAAAAAAAAAAAACCCCTGCCAAAAAAAACAAAAAAAAAAAAAAAAACCCCTGCCAAAAAAAACAAAAAAAAAAAAAAAAACCCCTGCCAAAAAAAACAAAAAAAAAAAAAAAAACCCCTGCCAAAAAAAACAAAAAAAAAAAAAAAAACCCCTGCCAAAAAAAACAAAAAAAAAAAAAAAAAAAAAAAAAAAAAAAAAAAAAAAAATTTAAATATTCACTTAGTGTGCATGGTAAGGTTGGGGCAGGGGAGACGTTCGTGTGTCGTGGCACATGTGTGGAAGTCAGAGGACAATTTGTTGAGGTCATTTTCTTCCTTCCACTATGTGGAATCTGGGAATCAAATTCAAGCCATCAAGCTTGGCAGCCAGGGCCTTGACCCACGGAGCCATCCCAGCTGCTTTGTAGTTTTAAATAACAAACAAAAGAAGCTTTTGTTTGTTTTGGTGGCACATGAAGACTCTGTGGAGCACACATCTCACAGAGCACACATAGGTATTGTGGGCTCAGGGCCATGCCGGGCCCCGGCTGAGATGTCATGACTGCTTTGGAACCACTGGGCACTGCCAAGAAGCTGCAACAGAAGCACCTTACTTCCGAGTCTGGAAATATCTGACTTTCACCCTAAGATCCCGGGAGAACACAGTAGGTTCATGCCACCAACCAAGGGTACTGTCCTGGTATGAACGAAGCTTGGTGTCTCAGGAGTGCACCCTCAGGCTCAGCTCAGACTCCAGACTCTGCCCACCCTGCACTCAACACTCTAGGTTCTCTAGGTGGTCGCTCACCTCCTTCCCAGGCCTCCCTCCACCCTACCGTTCTGGGCATTGTCATGAGAAGAGTGGGTTTAGCTACCAGCCACACGCCTGCCTGTAAGTGGTCCCATGGCTTACCCCCAAGGCTTGTTTTGCCCTTATGTGTGAACCCATGATCTGGCAAGTTTAGACTTGTCCCTTTTGGGGTGCCTCCTCCTTGGAGACCTGACACCCACGGACATTCACAGATGTCTGCACCCCAGACAGCTACTTTTGGTTCAGGACAGTGCAGCTGGTAGGCCCAGCAGTAGCTGAGGACTTGAACAAAATAGTGGTGTCTCCCCTGAAGGGTCACTTCACACCTGCAGTTGTAGCGATGCGACCTCTCGGTCATTTACCAGAAGGTGTGCGTGCAACAGACGGTGGGTACCTGAGTAGAAGGCGGCACTGAACGCGTAGATACACATGCCCCAGCAGCCCATGGTCACACCGCTGTTGTACTTCTGATAGGCCTCCGACGTGTGGGGTGCCTTCGGGTCGCCCTGGAACACCACCTCGCCCATGAAGTCCGTGTAAAAGAGCAGCATACCCTCAAATGAGAGCCACCCTGGAGGAAGACAGACGCTGTGACCCTGGGTCACTCAGGCTGTGGTTCCGCCCTCCCCGCCAGCACTCTTACTAGGTGGGAAGTAACTCACGAAGGGGGGGGGTTGGTGGCTTACACCTGTCATCTTAGCACTTAGAAAGCGAAGGCAAGGCTGGGCATGGGTGGCACCCGGCTTTAATCCCAGCACTCGGGAAGCAAAGGCGGGTGGATCTTTGTGAGTTTGAGGTCTGATCTACAGAGCTAGGGCTGTTACCCGGAGAAACTCTGTCTCAAGGTGAGGGGAGAAAGTGAACACAAGAGGATCAGGAGTTCAGGTCTAGCCTGGGTCATATTAGCCAGGGTCATCATGTTTTGTAAAGTGCCTCCATTTTGTTTGAAATGTTGCAGTTTCTATAATGACAGTAACTCAGTTTCCAGAGCCGTAGAGTTTGTTATTTCTAAGCCCTTGCCTGGCTATCCCACAGATCTTCACCCAGCAAAGGCTGGCCAGGAATGCTGATCCAGCACCTAATGTCCTTTTTATTATGGTTTGTTTAACAAGGTCTCGCTACCATAGTGCTGGCTGTCCTGGCACTCGCTCTGGAGACCAGGCTGGCCTGGAACTCATAGAGATCCGCCTGCCTCTGCCTCCCGAGTGCTGGGATTAAAGGCGTGTGCACCACACCCAGCAGGGGAAAATATATTAGGAAATGCAGTGTGGGCCTACTGTGTGTGTGTGTGTGTGTGTGTGTGTGTGTGTGTGTGTGGGTGTGTGTGTGTGCGCGCGCGCGCGCGCGTGCGCGCACATGCGCGCGCGTGCGTGACCCTGCTTCCAAGTGCCACTCTTTGAAGACTGTTAATACCTTCCGTCTCTGAGGTGGGAGATGGCCAGGCCCTCCCAAGCCACAGTAAATGGTCACCACAGCGTCTATGCCATCAAATAATGTTATAATCTGTACGTGTGCTCTGTGTGCGCTCACGCGCATGGGTATCTTGCACATGTATGTGTGTACTGTGTGTGCTCACACACGAGTATCTTACACATGTGTGTGCACTGTGTGTGCTCACACATGAGTATCTTGCACATGTGTGTGTGCTGTGTGTGCTCACACGCATGAGTATCTTGCACATGTGTGTGTGCTGTGTGTGCTCACACGCATGAGTATCTTGCACATGTGTGTTCACATATGTGGAGGCCAGAGGTCAAAGGCCAACATCAGACGCCATCAACAGCTCTCCAGCTTGTCTCTCCCTGAACTTGGAGCCCTTTGATTGGCTAGAGTGCCTGGCCAGCAGGTCCCAAGGACCTTTCTGTTGCCAGTGCTGACACACAGATGTGCCGCCATGCCCAGCTTTTCTGTGTGGGTGCTGGGCACATGTTTAGACGGCACGCGCAGTACTGGCCGAGCCAGCTCAGTCACTGATTAAACAACTATTATCGTTTAATTTCGAGATAGGCTCTCAAGATACAGGTGAGCCCGGAGCTTGCTGTGTAGCCGAGAATGAATTTAAAAGTTCTAATCCCCCCTGCCTCCACCTCCTGAATCCTGGGATTATAGGCATGCTTGGTTTCTGTAGTGCTGGGAATAGAGTCCACGAAGCTCTGTGCCAACTGAGCTACATCTTTAGCCCACCAAATACTATTAAGCTCATTTCCACAGGAGCAAAGCATGTCCTGGCACAGACACATGATTTAACCCCTCCCTGGATTCGACATCTGTGTCCTATCCTGGCTTTGTTGGCATAAGCTGTACTCCACTGAACACCTGTCACATAGGTTCTTGGTGCCATCCGTGATTTTTGGCTTATGTGGGACACCCTGCAAAGATCACTGTGGGAAAGGTTGAGACCATTTCAAGAGGCTTGCCTGTCACCAGGCGATAGGGGCACACGCCTTTATTCTCAGCACTTGAGAGGCAGAGGCAGAGGCAGAGGCATGTACATCTTTGAAGCCAGCCAGGGCTATGTAGAGAGACCCTGTCTCAAAAAAAAAAAAAAAAAAAGTTTTGCCCGTGATGTCTATTGTATCCCTCTGAATGGAAGCCCTAAGTCGCTGCAAATCTGTTGTCCTCAGACCTCCAACAACACAACAACAAATGAAAAACAGCCAAGCTGGGGTCTTTCAATGTCACCGAGTGTCAAGCCCTGGTGGTTTAAGAGCATCAACAGATACACAGACGGGAAGGAGATTTTCATGCCTTCACATCTGAGGGTGACATTCCAGGAAAGCGGGGTTCCTCACTTGACCTGGAGGATAGCCTCCAATGCAGACAGGGGAATGTGAGAACCCTGAGAAGTGGGGGCTCTGTGCCCAGACCCAGAGCAGGCAGCACCCTGGCTGTACCTGGTCACAGACAGGGCATCATGGCTCACCCAGAAAGTGGTTGACACAGAGATTTCGCAGTGCCTTGGGCATGTTATAGATGGTGGAACAGAGGCGTCGCAGGGACAGTGGCTGTTCTGACTGCTCGCTGGAGCCGGTCAACTCGCTCTCGTATTTCACACCATTCAGGAGGATGTTGGCCACCTGTAACAGAGCCACTGAGTCAGCCACGAGGCCCACATGCCACCAAGGCGTGTGCTGGAGCGTGCTGAGAAGCAAACGCAGACAGCTCACAGCACACGCTGTGGGGACCTCTGTCTTTTATTAACTTTTAATCTTATTTCTCATTATTAGTGGATATGTGTGTGCACGGAGTGTTTGTGCGTGTTGTAGATACGTGTCTGAGAGCAGGTGTGTACATACCACAGCATGCATGTGGGAGTTAGAAGATAATTTGGGGATTCAATTTTCTCCTACTGTGGGTTCCAGGGATCAAACTTGGGTCATCAGGCTTGTGCGGTGGGGGCTTGCTTACCAGCTGAGCCATCTCACTGGCCCCACTCTGCCTTCTGACAGGGGGAACCAAGCACCAGGCACCCCATGGGGAAGGAAAAGCTGTGGGTATCTTGTCTGAGACCCAGGAGCAGCTAGAGGCGGGAATTCATTTCGAGCGCCCCACAGTGTGGCACTCTCCTCTCTCTGTCACTCTCTCTCTCCCTGTCTCCTCTCTGTCTCTTTTTCCCTCTCCCTATCAGACAGACAGACAGACAGACAGACAGACACACACACACACACACACACACACACACACACACACACTGCACACACAGAGAAAGGATGTCTCTCAAAAAGTAGAGATATAATTAAAATAAATACAGATCAGCATAAGGGACAGTTGGCAAATGTTGCCATGGAAACACGAGACATGAGTTCAAACTTCAGAACCTGGGTTAAAAACGATGCCACATTTGCAATCCCAGCACTGAGAAGGCAGAGGCAGGCAGATCTGCTACCCTAGCATACTTGGCAAGTTACAGGCCACTGATAGACCCTGTCTCAAAACAAAACAAAACAAGGTTGGTGTCTGAAGAACACCCAAAGTTGACCTCTGACCTCCACATATGTGCACACACATGAAATACAGCCAGTCCTCACCTGCTCCCCCTTGGGAGAAGGCTGTGAACACTTACTTCAGAGGGACTGGAGACACCCATTTAAAACCCAGGCGGGTCTCCTGCCACACGGAGGACAGGGCAGCCCTGTCAGCGGACACCTCCTCCCTCAAGGGGGTTCAGATCATGAGACACAGACACCCAACTGTCAGCAGAATCAAAGGGCGGAGAGCAGGGGCCCCTGGCATAGCCGCCAACCTTTTTGAATGAGGTTTCTCTCCCCAGAACTTTGCCTTGGAATGAGGTTTCTTTGAATGAGGTTTCACTCCCCAGTGCCTTTCCTTGCCAGGGTTTGGGGCACAGACTCCAGTGTGAAGGAAGCCTGGGACTGGGCTGTTTGGAGAACAAGGGGGAGGGAGTGCTATTCTGATCAAGGGCGGGGTGACACCGTGGGCACCAGATTCTCTCTCTCTCTCTCTCTCTCTCTCTCTCTCTCTCTCTCTCTCTCTCTCTCTCTCTCATTTCCGAGACAGGGTTTCTCAGTGTAGCTTTGTAGACCAGACTGGCCTCGAACTCACAGAGATCCACCTGGTTCTTCCTTCCAGGTGCTGGGATTAAAGGTGTGCACCACCACTGTCCAGCCTGTTGTTGGTTTTCAAAACAGGGTTTCTCTGTGTAACAGTCCTGGCTGTCCTGGAACTCACTCTGTAGAGCAGGCTGGCCTCCTGAGTGCTGGGATTAAAGGTTTGCACGACCATCACCACCACCGGCTTCACCAGACTATTTTAGTGGGAAAAGGAAACAAGAAGCCGTAGTTCTACTGTTTTTTCTTTTTTCTTTTTGTTGTTTTTGTTTTGAAACAGGGTCTCATTAACCTTCCAGGTGCTGGGATTACACACATGCACCACCACACCCTGTGTATGAGGAGAAGACTGAACTGCCGCTCTGTACATGGCAGGCAAGCTCTCTGTCCATGGAGGTGCTGCCCAGCCTTGAGCACACGGCTTTTACTATTTTCTTTTCTTTTCTTTCTTTCTTTCTTTTTTATATGCATTGGTGTTTTGCCTGCATGTGTGTCTGTATTAAGGTGTCAGATGCCCTGGAACTGGAGTTATGAGACAGTTATGAGCTGCCATGTGGATGCTGGGAACTGAACCCAGGACCTCTGGAAGAGCAGCCAGTGCTCTCAACTGCTGAGCCATCTCTCCAGCTCAAGTTTTACTGTTTTCTGGTGGCCTGGTGTTGGTGGTGCACGCCTTTAATCCCAGCACTCGGGAGGCAGAGGCAGGTGGATCTCTGTGAGTTCGAGGCCAGCCTGGTCTCCAGAACGAGTTCCAGGACAGCCTCCAAAGCTACACAGAGAAACTCTGTCTAGAGAAACCAAAAAAAAAAAAAAAAAAAAAAAAAAAAAAAAAATAACTTACTGGTGACAGAATGGAAGCTGGGAGGAAACAGGAAAAGGGGGGTGCTGGGGGCTTCGGGTTCATTAAGACCTGAATCTAGGAGCCATCTGAGTTTTGTGAAACAGGATGTCCATTTGACAAAGGGCCAGAGAAGTGACCTGGGTGTCATCAAAGGAAGAAGACAAGCCTTGATTTGTGTGGCTAGGAAACACGGCCTCTGGCACCGTCCAGCTCCTGGGCTGCCCTCCACATTGGGACCTCTGCACTCTTCCCCAGGAGGGACAGTCACTCATTGCAGAGTCCTTCCTCCGGCAGAGGCAGCGGTCCTGGCTCAGCCTGGCAGTGGCATCTTTGGCCTAAGCAAAGTGTCTCATTGGGTCCTTCTCGGGTCTACCTGGCCCCAGAACAATCTCCCTGAAGAGACTGGTGCAGGTTAGATGCTTCATAGGGCTGTGACCTAGAAACCCTGAGTTCCAGATCTCTCTCTTCCTGGGAGGGCCCAAGGCCAAAGGGACACAGACATGTCTACCTGAATAAAAGGACACCTTAGAGGAGCCTCCTCCTCAGGGTGGAAGATGCTGAGTTTGTGTGTGTGTGTGTGTGTGTGTGTG